CCTGCACGGGGAGCTCATTAAAGTCACATCTCAGCTTAGTCACAGCAGCACGAGGCTGGGAGGGGGAGCAGGAACAGGGGCAGGCGGAGGAGGGGTAGAGGGAGAGGGAGAAGGTGGGGAGGAAGGGGACCCGGAGGAGTGGCAGACGGTGGGGCCGAAGCAGCGGGCGGCAGTGACAAGGACCCACGCGGTGCAGTCATCCTGTCTCAGCGAGATATTTGGCGGGCAACTGCGGAGCGAAGTGCGGTCAGCAGGTGAGTCTGCATTGGGGGTTGTGTTTTCATCTGAGAAGTGAGGGGGGGATGGAGGCAGGCAGGCCGTAATGAGAAATACACGCAACAGAGAGGGGGGAGAGGAAGGGGACCCGGAGGAGTGGCAGACGGTGGGGCCGAAGCAGCGGGCGGCAGTGACGAGGACCCATGCGGTGCAGTCATCCTGTCTGAGCGAGATATTCGGTGGTCAGCTGAGGAGTGAAGTGCGGTCGGCAGGTGAGCCTGTGAGGATAGTGTGTATGTGCGTCGTTTGAGTCATCTCAAAAGTCGTCTCAAATGTTGTCTCGAAAGTCGTCTGTGAGGATAGTGTGTATGTGCGTGCGTCCCTTCCCTACTGCTGCAGGTGGACATGCAGCAAGTAAGTCACATCAAATCCCATTTTACATCATCCGATATCAACTTTCATCATGCTTGCCCCTCGCGCATTGAGGTGAATTTTTAAACACCTCAAAATCGAGGTGACTTTTTAGGTGCATTGAAAATCACCACATTGTGCAGAGATGACTTTTGAGTCGACTCAAAAGTCACCTCTCACCTCATTGTACAGCATCCGATATCGACTTTCATGATGCTTGCCCCTCCTCCACCCCATACACACTGCAGGCAGCAAGCCATCAGCCACGGTGCAGCCCTTCTCGCTGCTACAGCTGGACATAGCATCGGATCGGATCAGATCGGTGGAGGAGGCGCTCAAAGCCTTTGCTGCACCAGAGGTGGTGGAAGGGTATCGACCCAGCAATGCCAAGGTAGGTGCGAGGAGGGAATGCGTGTGTGTGTGAGGGAGAGGGGGTCTGTGTATGTGTGGGGGGAATGGGGTGTGTGTGTGTGTAGTGTAAGGGAGTGGATGTGTGTGTTTTTGAGGAAGGGTGGTCAGTCTTGATGCCTTCTAAGCGAGTGAAGGTCTCAGTAGTCTATACTCACTCCCTCACGTGTGATTCTCCTTCACATGAAGGAGAACCACATGAAGGAGAACCACATGAAGGAGAACCACATGAAGGAGAACCACATGAAGGAGAACCACATGAAGGAGAACCACATGAAGGAGAACCACATGAAGGAGAACCACATGAAGGAGAACCACATGAAGGAGAACCACATGAAGGAGAACCACATGAAGGAGAACCACATGAAGGAGAACCACATGAAGGAGAACCACATGAAGGAGAACCACATGAAGGAGAACCACATGAAGGAGAACCACATGAAGGAGAACCACATGAAGGAGAACCACATGAAGGAGTGCTGCTGCTCCTCCTGTGATTCTCCTTCACCCTCCCCTATTCCTTCTCCTTCCCCTTTTTGCACCTTCATCAACAGCCCAACCAGACAGTGCTGGCATCCAAGACGGTAAAGATCTCTGCGCTCCCCCACGTGTTGGTGCTGCACCTCATGCGATTCTCTTTTTCCTCCCTCCCCCCCTTTCTCGCGCCTTTCTCTCCCAGCCCAACCAGACAGTGCTGGCATCCAAGACAGTAAAGATCTCTGCGCTCCCCCACGTGTTGGTGCTGCACCTCATGCGATTCTCTTTTTCCTCCCTCCCCCCCTTTCTCGCGCCTTTCTCTCCCGGCCCAACCAGACAGTGCTGGCATCCAAGACGGTAAAGATATCTGCGCTCCCCCACGTGTTGGTGCTGCACCTCATGCGATGCTCTTTTTCCTCCCTCCCCCCCTTTCTCGCGCCTTTCTCTCCCAGCCCAACCAGACAGTGCTGGCATCCAAGACAGTAAAGATCTCTGCGCTCCCCCACGTGTTGGTGCTGCACCTCATGCGATGCTCTTTTTCCTCCCTCCCCCCCTTTCTCGCGCCTTTCTCTCCCAGCCCAACCAGACAGTGCTGGCATCCAAGACGGTAAAGATCTCCGCCCTCCCCCACGTGCTGGTGCTGCACCTCATGCTCTTTTCCATCTCCCCTCTCGTGCCTCTCTGCACCTTCACCAACAGCCCAACCAGACGGTGCTGGCATCCAAGACAGTAAAGATCTCCGCCCTCCCCCACGTGCTGGTGCTGCACCTCATGCGATTCTCCTTCAGCCACTCCACTGCTGGCAGCGTCAAGATCCACAAGCCCGTCTCCTTCCCCCTCTCCCTCACTCTCTCACGCGACCTCCTCTTCTCCTCCTCTCCCTCCGCCGAGGTATGCTTTCTCTTCTTACTCTGTCCTGCCCTCCACGCCTTTATACTCTTCCTACCCCTGTCAAGATCCACAAGCCTGTCTCCTTCCCTCTCTCCCTCACTCTCTCACGGGACCTCCTCTTTTCCTCCTCTCCCTCCGTCGAGGTAAGCACACTCACCCTCTCTCTCTCGGGCATAATTTCGTCACCCTGCGTCACAATTTCTACCTAATCCATTCGCAAACTTCTCTTCCAGTCGTCTTGCCTCACATTCGATGCACTCTTTCCTTCACCAGCCCTCTCCCACCCTCTCCATTCACCCTTACCCTCTCATGCCTCTGTCTCCTCTGTTAGTATCTTACTGCTCCGTTGCTCTATCCTCAGATTTTATCTTTTATCGCATCAGATCTCCCACACGCTTTCTGCGTCAGATCTGCTTCTTGCTCCCTTGCTCCATTGGTTTCACAACGTGCCTGAAACTCGCTCCTTCCTCTTTTGAGTCGACTCAAAAGTCACCTCGTCAGATCTGCTTCTTGCTCCCTTGCTCCATTGGTTTCACAACGTGCCTGAAACTCGCTCCTTCCTCTTTTGAGTCGACTCAAAAGTCACCTCGTCAGATCTGCTTCTTGCTCCCTTGCTCCATTGGTTTCACAACGTGCCTGAAACTCGCTCCTTCCTCTTTTGAGTCGACTCAAAAGTCACCTCGTCAGATCTGCTTCTTGCTCCCTTGCTCCATTGGTTTCACAACGTGCCTGAAACTCGCTCCTTCCTCTTTTGAGTCGACTCAAAAGTCACCTCGTCAGATCTGCTTCTTGCTCCCTTGCTCCATTGGTTTCACAACGTGCCTGAAACTCGCTCCTTCCTCTCCATTATCCGTTCCCTCGCATTGCCAGGAACGATCTCCCTCTTTGCTACTGTAGTGCACCTGGGGGGAGACCCTTCTTCGGGTTTTAAGGCGACTCAAAACTCTTTTACCTCCTTGCCCTTTCATTGCACCACCAGGAACAAAGATACTCCCTCTTTGCTACTGTAGTGCACCAGGGCAGAGACCCTTCTTCCTCAGGCCATTACACTGCCAATATTTGAGGCATCTCAAAAGTCGTCCCCTTCCCCTTCCCTATTGTATCACCAGGAACAAAGATACTCCCTCTTTGCCACTGTAGTGCACCAGGGCTGAGACCCTTCTTCCTTGGTTTCATACTTCACTTCAGACTTGCCCAAACCCATTTCTTCATCTTCCCTTTCCCCCCTCCTACCATATTTGATCACCAGGAACGGCGATACTCCCTTTTTGCCACTGTGGTGCACCAGGGAAGAGACCCTTCCTCCGGCCATTACACTGCCGATGTTCGCCAGCCGGACGGATCCTGGCTCAGATTCGACGACGCACGAGTTTTGTCTGTTTCTGCCAAGCGGGTGCTTCAGGAACAGGCGTATCTGCTGCTGTACCAGAGGGAAGGTGGAAGGCAGTGAGTGGAAAGTTCCTTTGCCTAGGGAACTTTAGTGGCGTGGGGGTCTTGTAACAAATGGGCGTATCAGCGCTACACCTACGGTATTTGAAAAATGCCAATTCGATCATCTCTTAGCTTAACGCATTGGGTAGTATTTTGCACGACCAATTTGCTTGTCAGTACGGTACAAAGGAGAGCATCACTTTTTAGTGAGGGCAAGAATGGTGCCACTAAAGAAGGTTCTCTTCCCTAGTGCACTAAAGAATCAATGCCCACATTGGGCAACTAAAATGGGAGAGCATTGTTATGTAGACTGGAAACTAGGGCGACACGAGGGATGAAGGAATGGGACGTGATAGGTACTTGGTCGAAATGCTTTCACTGGCTGAATGCTAGGGGTTTGCGGCTGGGAGGGAAATGGATCAGCGGAAAGGGAAAGAGTTACTGGGCTGGGCAGGGGAGTGAGATGGTGCTGGGACTAAGAAATGCTCGAGTATGCTTTTGTTTTCCATTACCGTATGTTACGGTACCGTATTTGTGTTCCCTTAGTTCAAGCTTACAAAATTCAAGCCAAGGAATTAGCCTCAGGTATACCGTAGTAGTGATGCTTCCAACCAGATTGCACCTCTCTGATCTTTGCATTGCACCCTACCTTCAACATTGAGTATGATGCTTTGATTCTCATGTTCCGATTCTCATCCCAACGGTGACTTTGATGCATTGGGACTGGTCATGCAAAATATGGCACAATGTCTCAAGCAAAGCAATACCGTATCTGAATTTGTCCCAGCACCAGCACCATCACCCTCCCCTCCCCCCACTACCCCGCTAACCCACTCCCGTGTACCGCCAACAGAACCCCCCTCTCCCCCCCCCGCCACTCCACTTACCTACACCCCACTCCACTCTGAACCGTTACCCCCTAGAATACAGCGACTAACTTGGGTTAAAAGCACCTCTACTGAGCATCTCGTCACTTTCCTTCATCCCTCACACTGCCGGCGCCTAATTGCCTTGGAATTCGCCTCCTTAGGAGTTGGTAATCGACGAGCACAGGGGCGTTCAAGGTGGCGTCTTTAATGTCTACTTACCCTCAGCCACGCGCAGCTCGAAGTTGAATTTCGACGGGTACTGCAGCGGCGCCTCGAATGCTCCTCGCACTGACGCGGCTACTTGCTCTCAACCATCGGATTCTTGAAGTTAACCTTCGACGTATAATCCGTCGAGGCTTTCCAGAGAGCAGGTATGACATTTTCCAGAACGACCGTCTCGAGCGTGTCTCCCGCAGTGAGGCGAACGCTTATCGGCTTCTTCACACCCACGACTGCCTTCGCCTCGCTGCCCTTGATTCCCCACACGCCGGCGTTGCTGCCGTCCCGCGTCAGATTCACCCACGTGTTGCCGTCCGCGCTTAGCTCCACCTGGTTAAGCGTGCCCGAAGCGGCAAGCCCCACGATCTGAATGTTGAACTTCTCCGCTGATGATACGCTGCGCACGCAAACCTGCGTTCCGACGGTCGACACGCAGTTGGTGCGCTTGAGCGTGATGCTAATAGGGGTCCTATCCCATGTAACCTCCACGAGCTTGGACCAGACAGCCAAGGGGAGTGCGAGTTGGTTATCCAATCCGGACTCGCCCACCACACGGACGGTCACGATCGCCTTGCCGTTGCGGCATCGCTTCGTGTCGTTGATGCACGAGATTGTATAGCACGCACCGCAGGGATTGCCGAAGTCGGAGGCAGGAAGCTTCGCGGTGAGTCCCATGCCGAAGTACGGGCTGCCGGTGTAGTTGCCGTAATAGCCGCACGACCCTTGGCCTGTGTAGTTGCTCGGCCTTGCCACCCGCAGCGCAACGGCGCTGCTATCACTTTTAGTAGCGTTTCCGGAACTGGCACGAGGAGCCGCGGGCGCAGTCCCATTAGCAGAGATTGTCGCGTTGGCGGGACTTCCGGCAGCGGAGAAATTGCTCTCAACCATCAGATTCTTGAAGTTAACCTTCGACGTATAATCCGTCGAGGCCTTCCAGAGAGCAGGTATGACATTTTCCAGAATGACCGTCTCGAGCGTGTCTCCCGCAGTGAGGCGAACGCTTATCGGCTTCTTCACACCCACGACCGCCTTCGCCTTGCTGCCCTTGATTCCCCACACGCCGGCGTTGCTGCCGTCCCGCGTCAGATTCACCCACGTGTTGCCGTCCGCGCTTAGCTCCACCTGGTTAAGCGTGCCGAAGCCGCAAGCCCCACGATCTGAATGTTGAACTTCTCCGCTGATGATACGCTGCGAACGCGAACCTGCGTTCCGACGGTCGACACGCAGTTGGTGCGCTTGTACGTGATGTTAACAGGCGCCTTATCTTCTGAATCCTCCACGATCTTGGACCAGGCCGCTTTGGAGATCGCAAGCTGGTTTCCCGTCTCTGACTCGCCCACCACACGGACGGTCACGATCGCCTTGTCATTGCGGCATCGCTTTGTGTCGTCGATGCACGAAATGGCATAGCACGCGCCGCAGATATTGCCGAAGTCAGAACCAGGAAGCTTCACGGTGAGTCCCATGTCGAAGTAGGGGTTGGTGCTGTAGTTGCCGAAATAACCGCACGTGGCGTTAATACCTTGGCCTGTCCAGTTGCTTGGCCTCGCCGTCGCCACTACGGTGCTGCTGCTGTTATCAAATCTAGTAGCACTTCCGGAACTGGCAGAAGCAGCCGCAGTTTCAGTCCCATTAGCAGAATTTGTCTCGTTGGGGGGACTTTCTGCGGCGGAGGAAAACATAATCACGGATACGATGACTACATCGCGGAAATGTCGATCGCCCAAATTTGGCCTCCGTGGGTTTTTCTACGAAAAACTCTACATAAAGTCCCGAAACCCACCATATTTGTCCCACCAATTTTGTGACAGGAATGTCACGCACACCCGCATGCCCACATTCCCGAGCCCTCCACCCTCGGACCGCAAATTTCACACGGACCTCGAGTCGCTTCCGGTAAACAGAGCGCGGCACGTTAAAAAAAGAGCTTCCGCGCCCACACATTCGCATTTCAAACACCCTCGCTTCACGACACCACATTGAATAATTGTACACTACCCCTCAACTTATTGTTCAAGACCACGACGTTACCAGTCTCACTAACATCATCCTCCCCGAGCACCAATGTTCATAACTTATCATGCCACTACTTACTCTACGTGATTCAACAACATTTGAAATTTAGCCTGTAATAACAACATAGGCACGTCCGTGAGCGCGTCCAACCTCATACCTCACCAACTACTCGCACAACAGGAACTTGTTCAGCAGCAGCACCTTCTTGTTGACGTAAGACTTGCACACGTGCACCACCCGCTTGATGCACTCCACGTCCACCACAGCGTACCGGGTGTCCACCCTCCCAGGCGTCAGCTGCACACATGTAGTGACTGGGCATAGGCCCGCCGCCTCATAATAGTTGACGTACACGTACGCCCCTTCCTCTCCTTCTGCGTTCTGCGCACGGAACATGCACAAGCACCTTGCGTACCACTCCTTCTCCTTCTCCTTCTTCTTCTCAGCCTTCACTGCCACACCTGAGAACCAGTTCTCAGATGGGCTGGCCTTCACAAATGTGCCCTTGGCCACCAGCTCCCCTCCACGTGTTCTCGGAATCGCCAGCGCCGTGTGCACCTTCATAACACATGCAACAGAGCACTCCGGTCATGAAACGGCCCCACCCATCACATTCCGGCAGCTGTATCCCCTGCTTGCACACCGCAGTGCGTTCAACCAGATGTTTACGTGTACACTGCACTTACACCACAGTACATCTCACCTTGATGTCCGGGGCGTTCACCCCGGCATCAATGAGACATCTTCCAAGCCCATCCATGTCCGAACCAAGAGCCTCACGATACACCCACAGCACAGGGTCCTCTTTGTTCCGCACATTGGCACATCGCGACCGCCGCGTCAGCACGTGCCCTTGAAGCCGAACGGCCTGCCGTGGTGTCCACATGGGTTCAACAACACACGCCAGATTGTGCACGCACAACAGCATACACAGCACACATCGCAATGTCCTTCAATAATACAACACTGCCCTACTCCCCAATGCCAAGCCGTGTGTAATCCCCCCCCTCCCCCCAGCGCCCCCCCCCTGCGCTACATGCATTTTCATCACCATCGTCTAGATAGCGCCGTCTCCACCCATCCCGCGCGTCCTCAACTAAAAAACCCCATGGCCTCGCGGTGGTGGGCCCTGCTCACCTCCCGCAACGCCGTCACGTACTGTCGCCCCCCCCCCGCCAGAGCCGCCACCTCCCGAGTGATCTCTCGCTGCACTTCTTCTTCCACGATGCGCCGTGGAATGTCCTTCCAGTTGCTGCCCCGGACCGGGACCTTCACCGTTCCCTTGTGCGTGTGCTCCCAGAGGTTGGTGGAGTACTCCCACGGCATCCCCCGGAGGGGAATGGCATCAATAAGGTGCACAATCTGGTGCACCTTCGGAAAGTTCCACGACGACTTCTGATCCGGAAAAGCATCCCCGATAGCGTCCATCATCCTGCAAGCAGAACAGTTCAGCATGCACCCACACAGTGGCTGTGATGCGTAGATCATACCTTGTATCACTCGTAAAACAACCAATTCGTAACCACACGAGTCGCCCGACCCCCCTCCCTACCCCTCCTCTACACCACACCACGTGCCACGACAGTCGCACGTGCTGCGACAACCCACACAACAAGGGGTCCCGAATCCCCCGCCCCCACTGTCAGAAACCACTATTCCTTCACCAGCCCTACGTACTTCTCTTCCACCACCCCCCCACCCTCCCCACCCACCCCCCAATGGCATCCCCCCCCTACCCCTACAACCCTCTGGCACCCCAACCCGTCCTCTCCCCCCCCCCCCCCCCCCCGGCACTCACGCGTAGGCAGCCGTGCGGACATCACGCAGCGTCTGCTCCGTGTGCTTTGCGACGCCCATCAGTGCCTTGTAGAACATTGCGTACTTCCTGAACGCCCGTACCTCCTTCGTCCGCTGCTCCACGTCCTCCGGCTTGCAGCCGTCCATGCTGTCCGCGATGAGAATGGGCATCACTTGCATCATCCCTCGGTTCTCGAACGCCGCATAGTTCGCCCGTGTCCTGAACCAGGATGCCCCCCCTGGGATGCGGACAACCGTTGTCCTTGTGTCCTTTTTCTGCTCTTTCTTGCGCCTGCACATGTTACACCAGTGGCTCCGAGTCACTACCAAGGCACCTAGTACGTACACACACTTATTATTGACACGACGTCCCTCACCTTTCAAACTCCCGCCTCTCCGGCTTGCTTTTCCCCTTGATGAATATGTCCGTGAGGTGCCCCAACATCCCGCCGTCCAGCACGTGCAATATGTCCGCGACGCACGCCAGGAAGACATTCCCCCACTCCGTGTCCGCGAAATTCCACCTCTCCAGGAAACACTGCCCTACACAGAAGAATGGTTCCCGGTCAACTAGACAGTACCACGGTTCTGCCGCTCACCAATCCACACATGGTACATTACTTACGTCTGTAACAACACATCCACCCAAACACTCTGCTTGACCATCACATCAGCCCCTCTTACATGCACTGGGTGTGTCGACCACCTGCGCATTATTTTGTCAGCATTGTCGCTCGAGGGTGCATTCAAAATAGCCTCCACCGTGCGCCTGTGCAGATCGGCCGTGCGCACTGTTGTCTCCGTCCTCAACTCCGCCAGATGCACCCTCTTAATGTAGCACGAGCTGCATGGCCTGTGTGACCTCTGCTGCATCGTCGCAGTGCAACGAGACGACTCCGGGTAGTCCCCGACCTCCGCGAACAAACAAGGGTACGCCTTCACCACCTTCCCCGACGCATCCGTGACGTAGATGAACTTGAGTTTCGCCCTGCCAACGACATGGCCATCGACACACTGTCATACATCACCACTTCATCGCTATCCGACCACAAACGCATTCACGACACTCACCCTCTGTGCTCTCTTAGCAGTGGCTCAAAAATGACAGCCATAGCCTCCTGGAATACCCGCGTCTTCTCCGTGGACGACGCCCACTCCGGAGGGAACGGGAGCACACCTGCGAGCACGTGTTCGGGTTCAAGCCACCTCAGACTCTCCGGTATGTTGAAGAGGCATATCAGGACCGGCCACGCTTGTAGCCTCCCGTTTGACGAAGCGTGCGTGCTGTCGCTGTACACTATAACACCCAGAATCATCCCCTTCTGGTCCGGACGCGCCGCCTGCACACGTTACGACCCCATTTGCCGTCACAAACCATGTTCACACATCGATATGAACCACCACGCGCATCTTTGCCACACCACACAATAGCAATTCCTGAGCAGCATCCTACCTACTCTCATGCGCTTTCTCCATCCAAATGCCCATGTCAGGAGTGCTGAAATGCCTTTTCCCCTCGCAATCATCCTTGTCTGTCCGAGGCTCTGTCACGAAACCCTCCGAGTGGATGAACGTCCGCACCAGCTTCTGCACCAACTGTCAAGCGGGACATGGCAAACCGACCCTTGGTTACATCGAAATGCAGTAAGCGCAACCTCTGTGAACGGTCTATTAGAACACCACTACCTCCCACCGTCCGCTCACCAGTTCCGTGTTCCGGTAGTGCAGCGGCAGTCTCGCCATCTTTCCTCCGGGTCCATAGCACTTTATCTCTGTCTTCAACCACGGCACGAGGTCAGGCGGCGCCATAGCCTTCCCAAAGCGCCTCACGTCCACATAGTTCAGCCATCTCCTGACGTCCCTCACCGAAAACCGTGGGTTGCTAAAAATGGTCAGTAGCCTGTTAACCTCTCTTCTTGATAGGTCCGCGTCCCGGAAGAATATGTACATCTCCGTCAACGTATCAAACCCTTCGTCCACGCTGCTAACATCGCTCCCATCGTCGTCCGCGTCCGGTACGGCTGCTCCTCGCCGCTCATCCTCTTCGTGATGCTCTTCGACGCCCTCGCTTGCATCCGGCTCCATCTCGGAATGACGTGTCCTTACCGGTGACGGCGCTCGTGCGCCCCGCATAGCACGCATAGCCTCCCGGTACGCCTCCACCAGGCGCTCCGCCCTTGCTTGGTGTATCTTCCGTCGGCATTGCTTACTGCGTGCCAGGTGTGACTGCATCGTGTTGTCGTCAACGTGTTCTAAGCCGCAGGCTTCGCACGCGTTGCCTAACATAGCTGCAGCCGAGGGGGGAAACCCTAATTTGTGTTATTGCACCCACCCTTGTCAAACATTGTATGTGTTATATTTGTGTAGGCTATTGTGGGTTAGCTTCTAGGGGGTACACAACTCTAGGTTTGACATACTTGTACTCTCATTCTCCTCCTAGTCCATCATTCTCGTTCACTCTTAGTTTCTCACATGGTATTACGAGCCTAGGTCGTTACCTAGGACCGAACGATGGGCCCACCGTTTTCGCCTAGTCGCGCCCTCGCGCGCCTCGCCTAGTCGCGCCCTCGAGCGCCCTCCTCTCTCTCACTTTCGCGCGCCCTAGCGTGCCTCTCGCGATCGGCCCCGCCTAGCCCGCACGCCCTAGCGTGCCTCGTGCGATCGGCCCCGCCTAGCCCCGCTCGCCCTTGCGAGCCTCTTACGGACCGGCCCCGCCCCTTAGCGCGCGCCCTTACGTGCGTACCCCACGCAGCGCTGCTTCTCCTGCCTCGACGACGCCTGGCGCACTCAGTTCCCTGGTGCCACTGAGCTGCCCCGCTGGGCCGATCTGATGAGGAAGAACATTGATATCTATGCTCTTGACTTTGATGCTATTCTCACTGCCATGTATGTCTTGTCTACTAGTGGAGAGGGTGATCAGTACCTGTGTGTTCCGCCCGACCCGGGCATTCGACCCAGTGGAGCTGCCACTCTAGGTGCTAGTGTGTCTGGTGCCCTAGTTGCTGGTGAGGCTGCCGCTCTAGGTACTTACGTGTCTGCTGCCCCAGGTGCTGGTGAGGCTGCTGCTCTAGGTGCTCGTGAGTCTGCGCCCCCTGAAACTGGGTCTGCTGAGGCACTGCACACCTTCACTCTGGACTCAGGTGCTTCTCGCTGTTTCTTTCGTGACCGCACTGCCCTTGAGCAGCTTGCTCGGCCAGTTGCAGTCTCCCTCGCTGACCCCTCTGGGGGTCCGCTCGTTGCGACCTCCTCCACTGTCCTCCCTTGTCCTGCGGTTCCGTCGGGCACACTGTCAGGTCTCTACCTCCCCTCGTTCTCTACGAACTTGGTGGTGGGTAGTGCGCTCCAGGACGGGGGTGTCCACCAGTTTACCCCTGCCTACGAGCGCGTGACACACTGCACGTGCGCTCGGACGGGCCGCCACCTGGCTACCTTCACTCGGCAGCCGGGGTCGGACCTGTACACACTGACCACTGAGTCCCCTCAGGTAGCTGCGTCTGCGTCTGCGTCAGGTCAGCTGTCTGCCCCCTGCTCGTGTCGCTCCCTGGCACACGAGACTGTCCTCTGGCACCACCGCCTTGGTCACCCGTCAGTGCAACGCCTTCGTGCCATGCACAAACGGTACCTTGTCTCTGGTCTTCCCAGGGTTCTCCCTCCACTCCCACCGTCGCCTGCTCCTCCCTGCCTTCCCTGTGTCGAGGGGCGGCAGCGCGCTGCTCCTCACTCCTCCTCGTTCCCTCCCACAGAGGCTCCACTGCAGACTCTCCACCTGGACGTGTGGGGCCTAGCCCGCGTCCGTGGACAGGGTCAGGAGAGGTACTTCCTGATCGTTGTTGACGACTACTCACGCTACACCACGGTCTTCCCCTTGCGCACCAAGGGTGAGGTCCCTGATGTTTCGATCCCTTGGATCCGTGCTACTCGTCTCCAGCTCAGTGAGCGGTTCCACTCGGACTTTCCTGTCCTGCGTCTGCACTCTGACAGAGGTGGTGAGTTCTCCTCCGACCTCTTGGCAGCCTACTGTGCGGAGCACGGCATCCGCCAGACGTTCACGCTTCCGGCCTCCCCACAGCAGAATGGGGTTGCTGAGCACCGCATTGGTTTGGTCATGGAGGTCGCTCGTACCTCCTTGATCCATGCGGCTGCCCCCCACTTTCTGTGGCCGTTTGCGGTCCGATACGCTGCGCATCAGCTCAACCTCTGGCCCCGTGTCTCCCTGCCGGAGACTTCTCCGACACTGCGTTGGACGGGAGAGGTTGGCGATGCGTCGCGTTTTCGGGTCTGGGGTTCTCGAGCTTTTGTTCGCGATACGTCCGCGGACAAGCTCTCCTCCCGCGCTGTTCCTTGTGTCTTCCTTGGATTTGTCCCGGACGCGTCTCGTTGGCAGTTTTACCACGCCACCTCGCGTCGTGTCCTGCCCTCTCAGGACGTCACTTTTGACGAGTCCGTGCCCTACTACCGCCTCTTCCCCTACCGCACTGCCCCACTCCCCCCCCCCGCCTCTCTTCCTCGCGCCAGGTGCTGCTGTGGTAGACCCCCTCCCCCCTCAGGGTGCCGCTCCCTCAGGTGTGTCCCAGGTAGACCTGGTTGAGCCTGTCGAGGTAGCTGTCGACTCTCGTCCTGCTAGGGGTGCTGAGCCTGAGCGAGAGGAGCCTGAGGGTGCGGAGCCTGGGGGTGCGGAGCCTGGGGTTGCGGAGTCTGGGGGTGCTGAGCCTGGGGGTGCGGAGCCTGCGGGTGCTGAGTCTGGGGGTGCTGAGCCTGGGAGTGCTACGTCTGAGGGTACTGGGACTGAGCGTGCTTCACCTGGAGGAGCTCTCTCCTCACAGCAGCTACGAGAGTGGTACTTACAGTACTGCAGCCTCAGGAAGGGTGCCTCTGGAGCTAGGAGTGCTGCTGGAGCTGGTGCTAGTGCTTCCCCTCCTAGGCGGGAGCTGCCCTCTCCCCAGCGGCTCCGAGAGTGGTACGCTCGGCGCTGCAGTCTCCGGAGTGGCGCTCCTAGTGTCGCGGACCCTGGTGCTGGAGGTGCTGCTACTGCTGGCGGTGCTGCTGGTGCTGGTGGTGCTGCTGGTGCTGCTGGAGGTGCTGCTGGTGCTGGTGCTGCTGGAGCTGCTGGAGGTGCTGCTACTACTGGAGGTGCTGCTGGTGCTGCTGGAGCTGCTGGAGGTGCTGCTGCTACTGGCGGTGCTGCTGGCGCTACTGGAGGTGCTGCTGGAGCTGCTGGAGCCGCTGGTCCTGGGGGTGCTCGTACTGGAGGTACTGGAGCTGCTGGGACTGGGCCTGCTGAGGGGGTTGTCGCTGGAGGTGCTGAGCGGCCGCGGCCGTACTACGTTCCGCTCCTTCAGCAGGTTCTTAGTCTCCCACCCTCTACTGGTCCTTCTCCTCCCCTACTGAGTCCACCGCCTGTCCAGTCGCAGTCACAGTTACAGCCAGCCTCTCCACTGCCTGGTCCTTCTCCTTACGCTGAGCCGACGGGGGGTCTTACGGAGCGTCGTGAGCCTGAGTCTCGTCCTCCGTCGCCTGAGTCTCGTCCAGAGTCATCTGAGTCGCGTCACGAGTCACCTGTCCGTGCTGTCCGCGCTGGTCGTCGTGCTCCGCGTGAGCGACATCCTCCTGTTCCTGGTACTCACTATATGACTCTGCGTCCTTCCACTGCTCCACAGCGTGTCCCTCTGCCGTCCCCTCCTGCGTCCTCTCTTCCTGCTCTTGCTGACCCGGAGTCTGACCCTCTTCGTGCTGCCAGTCCTACTGTCACGCGTCTCCTTGCCACTGTTATCACTGACCCTTCCTTCGAGTCCTCTGCTTCGTCTGCTCTAGTCGCTGAGCTTGTTGACTTTGCTGCCGCCTGTCGTCTAGACTACGCCGCTAGCCTTGTTGCTGAGTCTGAGTCTGTCTGTCCTGAGCTTGTCTTGCTTTGCTTTGACTGGTCCTGTGACCCCTTGTTCTCTCCCACTTAGCCTATGGGGGTGTGTCAAACATTGTATGTGTTATATTTGTATAGGCTATTGTGGGTTAGCTTCTAAGGGGTACACAACTCTAGGTTTGACATACTTGTACTCTCATTCTCCTCCTAGTCCATCATTCTCGTTCACTCTTAGTTTCTCACAACCCTTTCAATACACCACGGTCCCAACGGGTCACACACTGTTTCATCATGGCACAACCTGGAGTGAACCCTGACACATCAGCAACCCTCCTCGGTTCTTCCAAACTCGACGAACTGGGTGATGAACCTATCACACGTGGCAGTTGAACACGGATTGAATGCAGCGAAAACGTTTCATGATGCGAACGCATTTGTTTTTTGGTAACTTCACTTTCGCAGTGGAGAAGCGACAATGCTCGTACCATGTTTCCCCCAGCTCGGCGGAAAGAGACTTGTCACAACATGTCCACACATACACCACTACATACGCGTCAGCATCACACCCCGTAGTCGCGCAACAAATTGTGTCTCCCACACTATGTAATAGTCCAACTAACACATTTAAATATTTGTGTCTAATTACTTCAATGATTGCAAATTACAGACATATACCAGCACAAACAGCATGCCGAGTGTCCTTTACAATAATGAATACTCCATAAACTCCGTGACAACTCACACTGCCTAACACTACAGCCCGTCCCAACACACCATCTGCAGCCCTCCACTAGCGTTTCTCACACATACCGCTCATCCCATGTTACGTGTGCAATTCACCGCCGTCCCCTGCGCTTGCGTATTCTCGATGCCACACTAGGCAATGCAACCCACGACGCCAATAGCGCCAACATGGAGGGTGTCAGTGAAGTGAACGAAATGCATGCACATCACGCAGCGAGAAGCGAGGGTTCCTTAGCAAAGCCAACAGCCTGTCAGCGTCGCGAGTGCACAACCCCGGGCTTCTGAAGACACGGAACAACCATTGCAGATCATCACCATAGGTAAGGCCGTCTGCGCGTAACACCGTGACGTAGTCGGAATGCGACATCTCCACATGCCGACCACCTCTGACTCTCACATGTTCTTCCCGGCTCTCAAGGTACATAACGTCCGTCGATGGGGAACTCATGCCCGCACAGCGTGGGTGGCAAATCCTGTGTGTCCGCAGCGCGATATTGTTAGCGAAACCCCCACCACACGCTTCGCAACTATGCAGTGACATGTCCCCGTTTACCAGTCCACGGAACGAGCAGGGTTGCTCCCAGAATCAACGTCCTTAAACGGTCGGCGATGAACAACAACACATATAGGTCCTCCCCCAGAACAGAACACAGCCGATTTGATGCTTGTAATGTTGGGCAACACGGATTTTGGGTGCATGCTTCCTTCTAGGGTTTCGATGTGCTGTTGCCCCCGATGCGGGTACAAACCTCCGTCTACGCTACCTTGTCTCACCAATCGTAGCACACCAGGTGTGACACTTACGTGGCGTTGTGTCCTTCCCGTGTCCACGGTGCGGATTGCGTCTGTGAGGTGCACAACCCCGTACATGCCTTACCGCTGCACACAAGGATGCCCTCCCTTCTGGACACGATCGTCATATTACCGCACACGCACGCTAGTCTCCATGCTAGTGTCCTTGCCATGGCGGCGGCTCTTGTGCAGCTACTAGAGTCGCTATGCGCCCACCCTGAAGACGTGTTCTGCTTCGTAGAGACGACGCTACTCGCGACCACTTTGCCATTCACGTATAATGTGGAGCCAGACACCCGGTACAGGCCGAAGTGCGAACTTCGCGTTTGCCTGCTGTTTAATGCTACTGGGTCATCGTCGCAGCCGCCTATTGTCGTGACGCGTTGTGCTCGTCCCCGCCCCTACCGGCCGCTCTTCCCGGATGGGAAGCCTGTGCATCTTCGTCAAACGAGATCCGGGGAACTCACCGCCGAGGTGCGTGCGCGACAAGTTATTGTATTGTGGTTGTGCTGCGCAACGCATCCAACTTGTTTAGCGTCATATCTGTCAACCCCTTATGTCTCGCACTGCTTCACCGAGTACATGGACGCCTTCGACATGGACCGTTTCGGCCACAACAAAACCGCCATTGTCCTTGTGGCGAGCGCCGCTCACGTGTCGTTGGACCCGGCCTGTGACGAGAGCACAATGTTCGGGTTTCGTGTGCAGCAGCTCACATCCACCAAGATTGTTCATCTCGCGGGTGCCGTTTCCACATACAACCTTCCGTGGTTCAACGGGGTGGTCGAGATGTTCAAGACGATTTTCCGGTCCCGCTACCTCGGCTTCATCATAAAGGACTCGGCATGGCTGTCTCAGGGCGCAATGCCCATAATAGCCTACGAGAATGTACTGCTATGGGTAGGGTCTGCCAGCGACTGCACTCCATCCAGGGTTGTCCATCTCTCGTGGGCAAGGTCTGGGATGTTGCCTATGGCGTGGAGGCCGCTACTGCATCTGACGGAAAATCATGCAAATTGTGTGACTGTGGAGCCACTCATAACCCAGCTCGTCAGTCTGCAACAGATGATAACCAAGTTCACCAAGGGCGGCTCCGGCTTCATGCAAGCCCCCGACTACGCGGCGTGCGACACTCGCATTCTCGCTATCATCGACCGCGCTGCGGACGTCGCAGACAACTCAGCGGAGGACCTCACCGTGCCTCTGATTATGCCACCTGGGCCTAGACTGCACGACCCTCGTAGTCGCCGTAGAGTGGTGAGAGCCGTTACGCAGACGTACATACGTACCGCGGCTGAAATGGGCATTCCTCCTCATGACTTTCCAGAGCGCACTGGACTGTCCAACGACGACGTCATCAACCGTCTCCGTCGCACGCCTACTAAGCGGGCTCGTCTGGGCAGCAAGCGCCCGGCCGTGGCTGGTTGCAGCGGCAGCGACGGCCTAGACGGAGATATGTTGCGATGCAACAGCTCTCCTCTCGCATCATCCGTCAGTGGCAACAGCGTTTATGGCTGACGCTTGCTGGATGTTGTATGTCCTGGCTTGTCAGTGCAATGAAACCATTATGTTTTGATATAGTGTACCTCTTTTTTTGCAAATCGAAACTGCAAACACAATCTTGTAATGCGCGACCCTGAAAACGCGTACAAACGACGGGCTGCATCCGACAGGTGGCAAACGTAGGAGCGGCCTACGTTTCCTGCCCGCTGATTCGAGAGTAACCAACGCACGTACACCATGTGTCGGGATTATTGGACAATCGGGATCCCCACTTGTAATTGGATGCTGCCTATCAGTCCTTGCTACCGAAATGTAGTTCGGAGGCACGGTGGAAAACGGTTCTACGTACAAAACGCGGTTTTAAGTTTGGTTGTGTGCGGCGAATTCGTTGACACGGTATGTTATGGGACCTGTGTGTACACGTCAGACACGCGTTGCTAGCTGACGCGTTTGGATGGTCATGAATCTAGTCGAAACCTGTTTGTACGTGCTACGCATTACTTGTTAACTTAAACATTTCTGATGGAGAGGTTGCTCATTGTTTCATACTCGTTACAAGGATCCAGCCCTCAATACGTTGCTTGGTCTGCATGTTTTCTCTTTTGGCGCGCTCTCATTTTTTCAAGACGCGTGGCATCCTTGTTTGCATCCGAAACCTGTCCTAATCCGCACCTGCGACGTCATCGGATTCACTTCCTCCCGCACATCAAGGGCTTGGGCGGAGCTTACTGTCCAGCGGCGCTGTGGAGCAGACAGTAGAATGTGAGCACTCTGCACCATGCGTCTCAATCAAGACTCCTGTTCATTGCTCTTCGTGCTCACTTTTCCGCACACCTAGCCGCAAACTGCACTATGTCGAAGCGTACAAGGCATGAAAAATTTGAGCCGCACGGGGTGTCCCCACCACTGTCTTCCAGCGTCGACGACTTGATTGAGCGGATGCGCACAAAGAGGCCGGGTACGGAGTCACCACCGCCGGCTGACAGCGACACTAAGTGTGGAATATTAATGTTAGAGAGCTCCGAGTGCGCACGCGGCAGAGCTGTAGACCTCGCCCCATCCACTGTGACCGACGAGCCGGACGACTTGATCCGAAGGTTGAAGATACCGGATAACCTGAAGGCTTTCCAGCCAGTCTCGCTATACGGCCCTCATGGCGTGGGGTGCCAGGTGAACGCCCAGGATGCGCTAACAATGGCCGACGGCGAGTATCTTGCCAACAGCATCGTTGATTTTCACAACATGTGAGTGTCCTTTCCGTTTGATCGGTCGTTCTTACAGTCGCTGACGGCTGTGTGTGTTAACCCATCATAGAGTGTTTACCCGTGCGTGTGTAGACTTCTTAACATCCGACACCCGGTTCTGCCTGACGGCAAGACATGGTTTCCGCTGGACACCAAAGCCTACGTGTACGCGACACAGTTGAATAGGGCGTTGCCAATGGGAAGCTCACCTTGTATTTTCGACCTTGACTACCTTGCAATACCGGTTATAGCAAGGTGGGCTTTGATGACCCGCTCATTATTCCGCATCGTACAGTGCACCGATGTAGGATGTGGTTGTCCTTATTTTTATGCGTCGTGGTAACCTCCGTGGGCACCTACAGGAGGCATTTCTCTCTGGTTATTGCGGTGAATCTGGGGGCTGTGACACGCAAAATGTCGTCGGAGGGGGAGGAAGAGCCACTATACCTTATCCACTATGACAGCCATGGCATGCACACGAGGACGCCAGAGGTGATCGAGGGTGTCAAGAAGTGAGTCCCGGCCTCATCATGCATATGGCATATCCGCAACCAGTGTGGGAGCGCTTCCACTAATCCGTGCAATGATGGTATCGCAGGACGCTGTATCTCATTCACAAGGCTCGTCGACCAACTGCCGACCATCAGTACGCTGAAAGGGCATTGAGGGGCGCCAAGCGCATAGTCATTCAGGTATGTTCCACTTGCCCAACTTACGGACCTGAGTTGTTGACTGCTAACCCTAACCCACGGGACTCAGTTACTAAAGCATTGGTGCACGTGGGTGTATCTTGCAGAGGGAGGTGATCCCGCAGCAGTCTAACGACACCGACTGCGGTGTGTTCGTTTGCATGTACCTCCATGGTCTAGTCAACACTGGATTTAAGACGGTGTTCACTTGGGTGAACTGCAACGGCGTCACCTCGCGCACCTACAGGCGAGGCATGCGCCGGGATGTCTGCAGTCTTGCTATGGGGGAGCTTTTTGTGCAGCTGTACATGGAGCAAGTCGAGGTGCCGCTGCAACCGACTGCGCGCGTAGGAGACGAGGGCTGCCTGCTGTTTCCGACCAATGACGAGGTCAGAAGGGAGCTGTCGAAGCTGTTCCGGGATCGGAATAGCATGGAGGTGGATGGTGTTCTCCTCGCCGCCGCAGTGATGAGTATCGCATCAGCGCTCGATATCACCCAGGAGCAACTGGAAGCCGCGTGTGCACATGAGTTGCGAACACATGGGACACGACTCCTCAGACGGCCCAGCGTGGGGTACAGGCAGCGGGAGCGAGATGCAGCCGCGAGGTCGCTCCCCGAACTTCTTCACAACACCCCCGCTCCACTGCCTAACCATGGTGTCGTCCGTGTAAACTTCCCGCAGACGCAGGGGGGAAGCGACGTGCACACACAGGGACACGTCTCCAACACGGTCAAGCCGAACACCCCAGACGCCACGCCCGTTAAGGGTCGTCGTGCAGGTCGTCGCATGCAGAAGACCAGTGCCACCCTGGTGAAGGCCAGCGGCGCGGGGGGTGTGGGGAAACGGGGAGGTACGAGCGAGTACACCGGGGTGTGGTTTGATCTCCGCGTGCGAAAGTGGTGTGTCAAAATAGTTGCGGAGCCTTCGACTGGGAAGCAGGTCCGCCTTGGCGCGTACATGGATGAGAAGGACGCGGCTTACGCGTACGCGGCTGGAGCGTTTGTGATCAGGAGGAAGGACCACTTCCCCAAGGTGATGGCGTTGACAGACGCGGAGATGGCTGCACTGGAGGGAGCAATAGTGGATGACGTGAGGCATCTTGTACAGAAGCGCCAGTGGTACAGGTGGAGGGAGTGGCGTAAAGCCATGAACGACATTGGTGTTTTGCCAGGAACGCCCTTCAAGCTGGAGCCAGGTGCGGAGTCACCTCCACCTAAAGCAGAGGCCGCTGATAGCGAGACACGGGATGCTGAAGCAGATGAGGATCTTGTGAGCGAGGAGGACAATAGGGAACAAGACAGTGATGGGGGTATTGAGTGCACGCATGCCCAGTGATAGTGAGAGGGCAATGGAAGCAAAAAGCGCCTAAGGAGAGTCCAGTACTGAGCAAACGTATAAGTTGTTGTGGTTGTTTTTGCGCATGGAATGCATTGATTTTGATGGTGTGGTGAACGATTCTGCACATGGTTGTAGCTTGTGTGTTGTTGTCAGAACATGTGTATACGTTTAGAATCACACTGTCAAAAATAACTGTGGTGGTGTAAGTGTTGCAACACATTTTGTGTGACCACGAATATACCGGTGTAGTGCGAGGTCACCATACACGGTGGCATGAGCAGGCTGGTACGTGAATGGTCACAATTGCGTCCAACCTGGACCGATAGGGGTAGTGCTTGAATATGTCTTGCTGGCAAGCAAGGATAGGGCAGCAAATTTCGAGGTGTGTGGGTGGCTTCCACGTCAAACAATGCCTACTTCGAACGCAAGTCATGGACGAGGGCAAGTTTGTGCACAAAACAAGGCGATGTGCACCATTGTGCACATCGTCTGTCTAGTTGCCGCAGGCAACATGGACAGTGGCACAGAGAGCGGACGAGCGTCCAGGGACGGAAAACGTCAGTGTGTGTCCAAGACTCCGTCGCACCTGAAGAACTATGTGCTGCCGGGAAGCTCCAAGCGTCCACCGGTGCCGAAGGCGCCGGTTGCTAAGCGGGCGAAAACTGCTGCGAGGCCCGCACCGAGCGTGACTTCGGAACGTGGTATGTGTGTCGTGAGTTTTATTGTGCGTGTTTAAATGATCGTGTAGGGTACACGGCCCACACTAACACTTACCGTGTCTTTGGTTCGCAGCGTCAACTCCCCCGCCCGAAGCGCATGACCATCGGGATGGCGAGAGCTCATCGTCTCGCGAGACGACCTCTAATCGCCGCAAGGCAGGACCTTCAAGGACGCACGAGGAAGCGCGTTCCGCTCGGACTGGAAAGAGGCGCAGGGTGTCACAAATGGCGGACGAGGAAGGCACTGATGAACCATCACCGACGGGCCCGGACCCTGTGTTGTCGGACGACAATCCGAACGAAGCTCTTCCACGAGTAAATCCGCGCGTCGACGGCGACGAAGAGGCTACGCAGGAGGAGGCCTCCGATTCCGCTCCAGTGACGCGGGCGGAGATGGTTGCGATGCGCAAGATGCAGATGGAAACGGCAGCGACCATGGCAAGGCTGGAGACGGCACTGCTGGCCTCGCTCGCCAACCACCCGGCCAAGAAACGCAAGCGTGACAACGCAAGGGGCGAGTGTGACAGGGTCAACCCACGTAAGGCGAGGCGCGTTGCGAGTCCCGAACCTTCTGTCGACGAGGACGAGCTGGAGGACGAGGTCGGTCGCCACGTGAGGACGTCGAGCTCTCCGATCCTGCAGCGAGCGCTGAAGTTTTTACCGGCGAACAAAGGGTGGAAGGTGGGAGGATGGGGTTAAAAAGTTGTACAATGGGGGTGCATTGTGTGTATAAGCATGTCTGATCCATGTTCAAAGTCCGGTGGAGGAGTATCTTACATGACAGCTAATATGCCAGGACTGTCGTTGTGTCTGCTGCGTCACGCAGGAAATTTGCGAGCAGCTGCGTGTGCATCTTTTTGTGGACGCGCCGGACACGGTGATGTCGTTCTACCCCAGTAACGCGGCGAAGAGTGCCGGGCTGTGCGCGATCATTGACCGTCTGACTCCCGCTTTTGCAAGCCTCGCATTGGCTGCAGACAAAGGGAGACGCGCTGACCTGAACCGTTCGTTTAGCGACTGGAAGACGGCGGCCGCGGGGCGTGTCCGGGACATTGCGATGCCGAAACTGGGACTTTTCCGCAACGAGAAGGACGCGCGCAGCCCGTGGGCTGCCCCCAAGGCTCGCTCGGCGGCGAGGGTGAAGGAGCGCCTGCTGCTGACACTCGATGGGGAGGGTAAGACAGTCTCGCGATGCTTGGTACGTGTGTGAGCGCGTTTGTGCTGATAATGACGACGAAATGGCCGCCTGGTTGTTGTGCAGACCATTTCGCTATCTCCAAGTGGAGCGAGGACAGGCGCGGCATGCCCTTTGCGTCCGGGGCCTTTGCTGCATGCGCCCGAGCTGCTTTCAGGCCCAGGATGGTGAACGGGACGCTGACTCTGAAGCTGTATCACATGGCGTGGCTCGAACGCGTGGTGAGCGTTGACAGTCGAAACATGTCTCCTGGTCCGACGTAGTTTCCGTGAAAACCGTTGCAGGGGTGCATACCGTGGCTGAAAATGCGCATCTGTCCGTTCAAATGCGCAGGTGACCGACGCGATCCGCTACTGGGACACCCGCAAGGGCAGGCTGTCGAACTCTGCGGGTGTCAACGCGCAGATCGTGGACGGCCTCCGCGAGTGCGCGCTCGTGGACGTCATGGCTGCCATCGAGCAGTTCCAGCCGCAGTACGACCCCACGACGTCATCATGGGCGTGGGGCCGCCATGGGCTGCGCCTGTCTGCGTGCGGGATTGAGAGGCAGGAGCACGCCGGGCAGGCACCCAGCGTGAGCGAAGGCGCACGGGACAACATGTCCCTTACCTGAGGATGGGCAAAAAATGCAGGCTCAAGTGCAAAGTGCACGGGGTGTCGATCCGTTACCGAGTAATGGGGACAGTGCGGGGGTGTGAGAACAGTAATTGTCGAAGGAACGGTTGTAGCTGCTGAGTTGTGGAGGTAGTGTGGTTGAAGTTGTTAGTGTGGCGTGGTTGAATCGTAGGTTATGTAATGTTGGCTGTGTTGTGAAAAGAGCATGTATTGCGTGAGATGGCGTGCACTAGAAGCTATCAAGATCATACATTTCACGCGAGCGGGGGACATAGGGTCCAGACACAAAATCAGGGCATGACAGATGTTGGATTTCACGCTGCCCGATTGTGAGAATAGTGGATATGGACGGTGCGATTTGTGATTGGGTGAAACGCGCTGCGGCGAGATGGGCTGCGTTGCACGTGTCAGTGACGGTTTCAAGGTGTGGTAACATCATGAGTGTGGGTGTCGCAATACGTCGTACAGCGTCGATGGCCTTCCATATCAGTGGTGGTGCATGGACGTGCGACAGATTCGACGTGCGCGATGGGCTGTGAGGAGAGCAGGTAGTTTTCGGGCGATGCATCGAGGACGTCGATGTGAGCGAATCTGTTACGCGGTGGGTCGTGGTTCTCGTCATGATTCAATGGGTGAGGTAATGCATGTAGGGTGATGTTGTTGTCGCGATGCGTGAATGTCCGCCGTTGATCATCACCATAAAGTGTGCACAGTTACCGTGGATGAGGAATTGATCTTGGGAGGATTGGGGGCCACGTGTGCGAGTTGTCGAAAATGCAGGCTAATCGGGATCGTCGAAGCATTAGCGGGTGGGCGGTTGAAAGATGGTGCATTCGGGTGACGTGTGCACACATTGACCGCATGGTTGAGATGCAGTGGCGCTTGATGTGTGGGTTGATGGACCGTCCAGATGCGGCGTCGCCTTTGGTTGGCCGGTGCGTAGAAGCCGTTGATCATGGCGCGTTGGGGTGTGATCGTGACGGTCTATTTGTGGCGGGTTGGTTGTCACGTGGTTGTTGCTGATTGGGAGTTGGGTAGTGACACGCACGTACGTTATGGTGAGTAGTACGATAGTTGATACGGGGGTGTTGTAATTGTACTGCCAAGAGGGTGCTTACGTGGCAGTTGTGCATTTCGGTGTTTTTCCGGTGACGCAATTGTGGTTGTGTGCGTCGTAACGGACAAGTGAAGTGTTGGTGACAATGTGGTAACCCTGGTAGTGACAGAAATGTGTTGTTCCCGATTCTTTTGCGGGACGGATGCGTGAGGTTTACGTCACTGGCAAGGTGACGGCTCACCCTGGTACTTCTGACCATGACTTTTCCGTGACCAAAAAATGTCACCATAAAGTTCCGTTTTGGTGACTGTTCTGTCACTTTCCTGACTTAGCATTTTCGCGATGTACCACGAGGAGAGTAGTCTTAGCAAGTGTCAGGCCGACAAAGGCCATTTTCGCTTCTATGAAAACCAATCGAGGTTGCTACGATCGAGGAGATGGTTTAGCTGCCAAGATATGGCGAGCCGCAGTGGCAGCTTCTCTGCTGGATCTGCGTACACGGATGCGAGAGTGAAGGCGATAGGAGATTCTAAGATGCGATGAACATGTGATTAACTTCAAACTGTTGCTTCCATAAATAGAAGAGACATCACTGACTCACTACATGAGTCAATCGTTTTGACTTTCCTGAAGTTCGTCAGTTCGAATCGCACGATGATTTATATGTAAAAACCCATAATGCGCCTTGAAAGCGGGAATTGGCGTGGATGCGACGCCTATTTGCGAAAAATGGTTCTGTTACGAAAGCAGGAACCGCGAGTGATTGGTTGACGACGTTGATCGCGATTCAAATATCGCATCGAAGTCACCACGCGTCACATCACAAAAAGCATGGTTTGAAAAGGTTGCAAACGTTTCGGAAACGTTTTTGAGACCAAACGCATGGTTACAGTACGGTTGAATTCTCGATAACCCCGTCAGACGCGTACAACTCGCGCATGCTACGGCGCAATTTACGCAAATCCGAGTGAGTTTGCAAGTACTCCTTATGTGAACTGCTAATAGTGAGGAGGCACATTATCATAAAAAAATCAGCTGCTATAAGCTGCATAATCCTCTGAGATGACATTGCGCTCTCCGCCTTACAGCAGCCATGGACATGGCCAGTAGCTTTAACGCAAATGATGAGTTACAATTTCATGCATGATAACGGATTTGAGGCCATCAGCCGAAGCCACGCTTTAAGCTTGATACAGCGATATGATTTTATGGAACATTCCTGTGTCGACACTTGTGTCTCAATCCCCCTTATCCCGAGTCGCGCCTGTAAATTTGCCCATCTTCACGTCACAAATAACCGATGTACCGCAACCCTTGTGCGACACATAGAGGTGTACATTTGGCGGCATTCTATTGGGCGACCCAAATTGACTCGAGCCCAAACGTTTTGGCGCTGGGCAGACACCCTAAACCAGTTTCCTAATAGCGGGAAAGACTACGAGAGGCACGGTAACGGATCTTGCAAATGATGTGTCCCGAGTTGGTGAAACCATAACACACACAAAGGCACAGGCAATTCACAGGTACAAGTACCACATCATTTCACCGCAAGCACAGCACTGCCTATGCTTCACACTGCTACCAGGGCAGAGCCCGTAGCTGTTCCCTTTCTCATGCAACTCCTAGTGGCGTGGATCACGTTCTACTACAGCATCTTCATGGACGTGGTCGTTAGAGGGGTAACCGGCTTGTCGGAGTCCAGCGTCCTCGAGGAGGACGTGTCGTCTCCAGCTAACACGCACGGCTCCAACAGAACGATCGAGCGTGCGAGAAGGGGCAGCTTGCGCCGTCGGCGTTATCAGCTACTGCTAAAGGACCTACAGGGAATGGGCGACGGGGAGTTGAGGGATATTTTCAGGATTAACCGAGCTATATTGGATTACATAGTCGATGGCATGCAATACTACATGCAGCCCTACGTGGACCGGTACTTCATCACCCACGAGGTGGCAAATCTGGTCCCGATCAAGCACTTGGCGAGTGCACCGTCGTACATAGACCTGTCTCACCTCTTCGGGTTGTCGAAGACCTTGCGCCATGCGCTCGTCGACGTTTGGATGATGCATTTCGCGGGAGTCTTCAAACAGAAGTGGGTTCACTTCCCCACCCGCGACGACCTTGATGAGATGGCCGAGGAGTTTCGGGCCGTGAAAAGGGTACCTGCGGTAGTGGGGGCTATTGACGGGACGCACGTGCCAATGAAAGGGATGGAGGGGCACAGACAAGATAACTACACACGGATGTCTGCTTACGCCGTGTAGTTGCAGGTGACATGTGATGCACGCGACATAATTTGGGACTACCTGATAGGGTACCCAGGGAGTGCACACGATCAACGCGTGTTCATGAACAGTGCGTTACATGAAAGGTTGCACAATGGCGACATAGCGCCGTATCAAATAGTCGGTGATGCGGCCTACCCCCGGAGGGATTTCTGCCTAACCCGCACCCCGTGAAGGCCTAATGGAAGACTAGGAGCAGTACTTCAACTACTGCCAAAGCGCAACGCGCATGGCGGTAGAGCGCTGCATCGGCGCCTTCAAAGGCAGGTGGAGGCTCTTCGCAGGCCGCAACGACTGCATGCTGTAGCGCGTGCTTGCAGGGGCGTCGTGTTGCGTCGTCCTGCACAACATATGTGAGACGATGGGGGAGGTGAGGCGCGTCAACGCGGCGTGGGCAAACTTGCCTCGGAACCGAGACCCTTGGTGGACCCGTGGCGCTGTTGCTGATTTCAAATAGGAGCCAGTCATGCCATGCAATCAGGCAACATTACGTGAAAGGCGGAAGAGGCTCGAAAGGCTTTGGAGTCGTCGTACCTTACTCGGCGTCGCCGCGAACCCACACCTCCTCGACCTCATCCGGGTTAGCGCCGTCTCCACCGGCCTGTCCGCGACGGCACGGCGACGGTCATTGCGGGCTGGGTGGCGGCTTCCTCGGGGATGACGTTGGGGGTTGGTGGGGCAGGGGCCGGACCCTGGTTGCTCCTGGCGCGGACGAGTCCCTCCAGCTTTGTCATCGCATCCGCGTGGCATCCCTTGACGGTCTCACAAACCTGCTTCGCCGCAGCCATGGTAGCCGTCTCTGCAACACGCGGGCGCTTAGAAGGAGGGGTGCTCGGCGGAGGGGGGGCTGCACAAGCACAAAGAGTTAGTTAAATCTCCGATGCGATGTGATGTTGTTGCTGTGTACCACAACAATCGTGAACGCGGGAAGTTTAATGAACATTGCTACCGCAACCAAACATTGAAACCCAGTCTAGTTCAAAGTGAGGCCTCACCCGTGAACGTCGGCGTAGAAGTGTATGGAGCGGACGTAGACGGCACCAAGAACCCGCACGGCACATTCACGTGTGCGGCCCCACTTCCTTCACGGCATGCGGCTCAGCGACGGCCTCGTTGTTCTAAAATAACTCCATGTACGGCCACCACGGCGGCTTACACATCACGCCGTTACCCGACGCCTTCTCCCCCTTCTTCATCTGTTTGTACATGCACACAAGGTTGCGCCACTGCTTCTGCACGGCGTTCACGCCGCGAACCCACCCAGTATTCTCTGTCTCGATGTGACGAACAAGGCGGGCCCAATACTGCGATCTGTGCTTCCCTAGCAGAGGCTCGAGCTCGTCCTTCATGAACCAGCGGGCGGCAACGAGGATTGTGCTCTACAGGGGCGACCACACGCTGCGCTTCAGTGGGATGTGGTTGCGGGTATTTGGAGCGCAGCGAGGTGGCTCTCCGCCCTTGGCGGCGTTCTTGACGCCAGATGCCGCCTTTGCACGACCGCGGTGCACTGGGGGCGCCGCGGGCTGCGATTCCTCCGGTGCGTCGTCGTTGTCACCCTCCTCATCATCACCGTCGACGTCATCCTCTGAGCCGGACATGCCCTTGTCCTCTTCTTCTCCCGAGTCAGCCTCGTCGACGTCGTCCTCGTTATAGTCGGAG